ACGGGCTGAAATGCTAATCCACACAGCTGTGAATCTGTTTTGTCAAACTCCCCGGGTGACTCTGATAGCGTTTTTTTCAGAGGTCTGCATTTGAGAGACCCTAATTGCCTTCACAAAAACCAAGTCTCCCACTAGCCTTGTGGTCACATCTCAGGGGCCCCAGCTCAAGCTGCAAAGGGGGGCGGCCTAGGTCACACTCAAGTTACTTCTCCCACCTCAGAGCAGAGGAGGCCAATCAGCTCATTGCAGCCTGCGTGGCCGATGTATGTGAAGGGATATCTGCCCAGGGGTTCTTGGACATTATTAACCGCTCCAGCAAGGAGGGGAGCCCAGCACGTGGAATGGGCCGGTTAGAGTCCCAGAAGCTTTCCACAAAGGGAGGCAGAGATGACTAGGCTTCCTTGCCAGTCCAGGCCCCACCCCTCAAGACTGAAAAAAGCCCGAATGCGTGTGCAGGAAGGTGGGGGTCGGGGACCCGCAGGTCCTGGGCAAAATGCCAATAAAAGGCAAGAATCTTCACAAGGAAGAGCCACTGGCTGGCAAGTTCAGATTCCAGCTTCGTGGGTCCCTCCGGGTTTTCCTTGTTCCCCACCGCTACCTTGAGCTGGTATCCACCAGCCACACCTTGGCCACAATTTCCCCTTCTTTACCCAGCCAGGGGAGGCCTGGAGCAGGGCCAGACCCGGCTTTATTAAGTGGCAACTGCTGTGGGGGCGCAGAGCCCTCTGAAGTAGGCCTAGCTGGCCAAGGGGAGCTCTCCACTTCCCCAAGCTACTATTTCGAACCGCAGCTCAACAACCAGGTCGCACCAAGCCTGCAGCAGCTCCTGCAGCAGCTCCGAGACCGGCCACTGCAGGAATAAAAGAGAACAGAAAACAGGCAGCTCTCGATGCCCCAACATGTTCTTCCGAGGAGAGCCTTCCCATTAGGTTTGCGCTCTAAATACATGCAGGTGTGTCTGGCAGGTCACAGGGTAAAATGGATTCCTTCGCTGCAGGCCTGGCTGGTCTGCTGTCTGCCTGGCTGCCCCCAGCTTCAGAAACCTGACCCATAGCCAGCGGGGCCCAGCCACCCTCTAGGGGTGCCTTACCCCAGAGGCTGTGCAGACGGGTAGGGGGCTGTGAAGCCTAGGGGTGGAGACTGGGGACTAGCTGGAAGCCTGCAGCCCTCCCCCACCCCACCCACCCCCGTCAGCCTTGTCCCCAGCCTCCAGGTCCTGGTATAGCCATGAAGACAACAGCTGACATGCTGACCCCCCACACACACACCTTCACTGTGGACGGCCTCCTGCCTGTGCTGAACGGCCACACTCTGCCCCTCAGCCCCCAGTCCCTGTGCACGGGGCACTGCCCTCTGTTCCCTACCCGCAGAAGCCCAAGCCCACACAGGCTGCTGGTCTGCCAGGCAGGAAACCCAGGCCTTCTCTCTGGTCAAAGGTGCCAGTGTAGCGTGCTGGCCCACCACACCCACCCCCGCCACAGCCAGGCCCTGCTGACCTCACATCCCAGGTCCAGAGGGCCTGGGCCCGGGGCCGGGGTGGGGGTGGCGGTGGGCAATGCCGGCTGGGGTTTTTACACAGGAAGGAAGGGCAAGCCGAGGTGGAGGAGGTGGCGAGGGTGGGCGGAAGTGACTGCAATGTCAGCACCCAGAGCAGAAAGGCGCAGGCTGGCCCCTCCCAGTTTTCCAGTGCTGACCTTTGTGCCGAGATGAGAGATCTGTCTCCATCCACACACCCACCCCCCAAACCGCAAGATGCCGCTCCCTTCAAGGGGCATACTCTGGACTGAGAGGGTGGGGGGAGAGTGGGGACCCACAGTAAAAGGGTACTTGGAACCCCCACACCCCTGCTTCCCCTCTGTCCCAGCAGGCAGGCCCACTCAGAGGGCAGGGGCAGCAGACACGACTGGCCCTGTCTGCTGGGGGGGACAGGGGTGGGGGGGGACATGCGCACGCGGAGAGCCCGGGGCGCACTCGCACAGCGCTTACGTTACTGATCTGGTCCTGGGTCTTCTTGATTCTCTGGAGTTCCGGTGTGTCCGCCACCACGCTGAAGCCTTTGCCCTTGTTCTTCTCAAACTCTTCCTTGTAGCGAACCTGGAGAGGCCCGGAGAGAGGGAAGAGGGGCGGGTCAGGCCAGGGGACCCCGAGGGCCTGAGCACATGGCCAACTCCTGGGCAGCAAGCGGCCAGGGGGTGGGCGCAAGAGCAAGTGCCCATCCAGAAATGCCCTCCGCAGAAATGCTCCCCCACTCGAAGCATCTGGCCAACAGCCCTAGCCTGAGACTATGGATAGGCCAGCGGTGGCTCAGTGGTCCTTCCGAGCAGGAGACCAGGTTCAATTCCGACCAATGTATGTAGCTCACGCACAGCGGTGGAGGCCTGCAGGCTGCTATGTATAACGTTGACTTTCAGCAGCGCTTTCAGACTCACATGGGCGAGGAAGAAAGACCTGGACATCTATTTCCAAAAATCAGCCACCAACAAAAGCCCTGGACGAGGTACTGCTTCTTTACATGGAGCATGCCTCCTCCACCCCCCATGCCCCCAGGAGTTGGGGGCAAAATCAAAGGAAGCACACGAACAGCCGGAACCACGCGCACTGGGCACGAGCTACTCACCTACGTCTTGGTCTAGACTCTCAGCCCCATCTCACAGGTAAGACACTAAGTTGGAGGAGGCCAAGTCCATGAGCCAAGATCAGAGCTGAGCCGCAAATGCTGAGAAGCACAACCTCGCCAAGCTGGTCCTGACTCTGGCCCTGAACCACCAGCCCGAGCTCCCAGGCTGGGTGGGGCGTGTTTCAGAGGCCAGCTGAGGGAAGGCTGTGCCAAGGGACCCCCGCGGTCTCCAGAAGGCAGGGCTGAGGCCTCCAAAGGGTAGGCTCCATCAATGAGCCTTTGACGGGCCCGGAGGCTTCCTGGGGCCTGCTGGGCTGGCTTTCGAAGGCCACCACCACAGAAGGGGAGGATGGCGGTGGGGGAACAGACAGCACTCAAGCACTTGAATGACCTCTTCTGAGAATTTCACGGAAAACCCGAGTCCTAGAGGGGCTTCAGGCGGACATCAGAAAGGACTTCCCTGATACCAATGGAGCGAGCAGCTTCTCCTCCGGTGTGTGTAAGAACAGAGGCCCGTAAGACAGGGGTGCTGTGTTCTTTGGCTTCCAAATACCACTGTCCATTTCTGCGGCCAGCTGTCCCAGCCCCACCAGCTGCCTGGACTTCCTCTGTGGGGATGCGCCGTCCTGGAAGGCAGGTCAGCCCAGGACACAGGCCCAGGCCCTTGGGACCTTCCAGGATGAGGGGCCCAGATGGCCCCCAGGCAAGGAGTCAGCCAGCGCCTGCGCTGAGCTGCGTCCTGACCCCACCTGCCAGGCCCCTGCACAGCCCCGTCAGGGGTCCAGCTGCCCATCTGTGGGTTCTTGTGGTCGGGGCAGGGGTGGGGTGGAGAGACCGTCTGAAAGACCCCAATGTGCTCTGGACACAGAGACCAGGCAAACAGCACTGAGACCCTGCCTGTACTGGCACACTCTGGAAGCCTTGGGCCAGCCCAGCGACACCACTGAGGGCAGGTGTGTGCAGGGGTGCTTGGGGGTCCTCAGGGAAGGGAAGGAACCAGAGTCAGGAAAGTGGTGTTCCAGATATCCAAACCCCAAACCAAACTCTGCCAAAGAGTTGATGCCAATTCACAGTAACCCTACCGGATGGGCAGAACTGCCTCTGTGGGCTTCCAAGACTTCTCCCTGGGGAAGGCTGGTAGTTTCAAACTGCTGGCCTCCTGGCTAGCAGCCCAACACGGGGCCACCAGGGCTCCAGACACAGAAGTCCTGCCGAATCCAAGGCCCCTGGCTTCAGGTCCCTAACCTGTAAAGAGCTGTCACAGGATCCCCCCTGTCATCAAGTGTGGAGCTGACTGACACACAGGCTGTCTCCCATCTGCTGAGTAATCTTGAGCTAGTACTCCAACCTCTTCAGCCTCAGTTTGCACATCAGTAAGATGGGGATCACGACACCAGTCTTTCCAAGGCAGGTGCAGATATAAGTGCAGCTCGCATACCATGGGGTGGAATGGGGGGCATCGGGGCCGAGGGGGCGGCAGTAAGGCTGCCCTGGGGAGGAGTGAGAAAGTGCTCTGTCAACACTAAATTGTTGGGCCAGTCCCTCCTCTCCTTCCTTACTTCCCAGCCTCAGAGGGTCAGGCCCCTAATCCAGGAATAATCACCATGGCAACACTGCAATGACATCAGCGGGTTCCCAGGCTCAGGAAGTGCCTCCCCTCCCGGCTGGGGAAGGATACTGAGCTTCTCTCTTGACCCAGAGGGTGGGGCTGGGAAAGGCCTGGACTCGGCACCACTTTGCTGTGTGTCCCTGGGCAAGTCACTGGCCCTCTCTGGGTCGCCAGAGGGGCTGGCTAATGACCTCTGAAGTCCTGGCAGCTCTAGAGTGTGGGGCTATGGAGAATCAGAAGTAGACAGTTCTCCTGCATCCTCCTGGCACTGGCAGGAGTGCAGAGAGGAAGGTGCCCGGTACTCACCCAGTGCCCCCCCAAGCAGGGCTCCCTCCCTCATCACCCACACCCTCGTTGCCAGGACAGCTAGTCAGGCAGGGCGGAGCCCTGTAGAGGCAACTGGACCCGGCCCAGCTCACGTGACCAGTTAAAGCCAGGGCCGGGACAGATGCCTGGGGCTCCCTCCTGTCCCTGCACAAGTCAGGCAGCCGCTGTCCATGAAATCAATCACTCTACTGTTCTCATTTGGCTTATTTAATAATAGTGACCCTCCCTAGATCTGCCTGCTCCTCACTTAACCCAGTACACACACACACACAGGCACAAAAACAAAACAGACACCTCCCACTCATGGCCATCGAATCGATTCTGACTTACAGTGACCCTACAGGGCAGAGTCAAACTGCCCGTGTGGGTGTTCAAGGCTGGCACCCTTCAGGGGAGCAGAAAGCCTCCCCATCCCCCTGCAGAGCAATCAGTGGCTCTGACTCTCCGACCTTGTGGTTGGCAGCCCAACAGGTAAGCCACCACCTGGCCAGCGCTCCCAGCACACAGGCAAGTGGAATGAATGATGAAGGGACTCATGCCGGCAGATAATCTGTACACAAAGAAGGCAGCATACGTCCTTAAGTATATCTAGACGCAATGTATTCCGTAGTCTTGAGGACTGTGGTGCTGAGCCAGCGTCACATGACTGATGGTGGCTTCAAACACATGAACCAAGCACAAGACCATAGGAACTATGTCTACTGACCAGAGGCTACCAGGTGCTGGGACCAGAGACGATGGAAATGACCCTTCCAACAGAAGAGAAGCCCGTTTTGAAACCGGTACCCACCTCTGAGGCCACTCCGATGTGGAGGAGTGCGAGTGACAACAGCCAGGGCTGGAGACAACGGTCAGATGGTCACCATATGTCCATTCCTCAGCCAAGCCCCATTTTCTCTCCTTCTCAGGAGTGTAACCACAGCCTTTATTGTGTACCGAGTCTCTGCCAGGGACTCACCTTCCAAATACTCAACGGATACTAGCATCCTCGCAACAGCCTTCGAGAGAGGCAACAGGAGCCCTGTCTTACAGACGGGGCTCAGAAAGGTTCGATGACTTCCCCCAAGGCTAGTGGTGACAGATCTGTGACCAAACAGGCCTCCACACACTTAAATGGGTGTGTCCTGTCCCCTGCAAGTCACAAGAGCTGGTGTGGGTGAAAGAGAAGACAGGGTCCAATGCACAGAGGGTGAGTTGTGGTGCTTTCCCCACCTCTAGGTCGGGGAGGGGGGGCATGCCCCCTCAGGGACAACCCTCTGAAAACGAGGGACAGTCAAAACCACCAAAGACTCAAAGAAACAATTAGTCTGAAGGACCAGTGGGCCATGCAAACGCAACCTCCACTGCAGTGAGACCAAGAAGAACTAGGCGGTGCCCGGCTCCCACTACCGACCACTCGGACCAGGATCACAAAAAAGCAAACCAAAACCCAAACTCACGGTCATGGAGTCAGTTCTGACTCACCGTGACCCTACAGGAGGGCCTACGCCGAGAGGGAGGCAGGGGAGAGGAGAACAAATTTCAAGATCAGAACAAGGACCCCACTTTTCTGGCTGGTCAGAGGCTGGTGGAACCCTTGAGACCGTGGCCCTTAGAGGCCCCCTGTAAGCAGGGACCAACTCCCAGCCAAACAACACACAGGCCTACCTCTGAAATAAGTGGACAGTGACGGCAATGACACCAGGGAGGACGGCACTCCTCAGAGGCCCAAAAGGCCACAAAGCTCAAAGGGCAGAAGGGGCAGGAAAGAAGGCCGGGTGGAAACGAGGCCCCCGGGGAGGAAGTGGGGGGAATGCAGCTGCACCGTGGAACACGGGGTGTACACACCATTGGAAGGAAAAGTTCAGTGTCTCTGCAAGCACCCCCCCCAAACTAAAACGAAAGACGGGGGGACAAAATGAAAGAGACACGCTCCCCACGGTCCTCTCTGGGCTCACTGGGAGGCCACAAAGACACCCACAACTGAGTCCTGCCCAAAGCTGCGGCCTAGACTGTGTGGTGCTTAGGGTGAGATAGAGGAGGGCCGGGCTCAGCAGCCAGCTCCCCTGCCCCAGCCAGGCCTGGGCAGAGCACCCCGAGGGCCATTTCTGGGCAGTTCTGGTTACTTCCTCTGCAGGGGAAGCGCCAGGTGCCCCAGACACAGGTACTACTTTGGAGAGACTGGCAAACAGCTAAAGGCTGAAAGAGCCTGGGGCGGAGTCACGCCAGGCCACGCCCACCAGGAAAAGGACCCAGGAAGGAGATGCTGATACCTTGGGGTGGGCAGGGGTGGGGATGTCAGGAACTAACCCTAACTAACCCACGGCTGACAGGAGCTGGAACCCGGGCCAAGCCAGACTGCGGAGCTCACGGCCCTTCCCCTTCCACCCTCGGCTCACCTCCGTCAGCCCCCCAACTGGCCACCTGCTCTCCGAGGTGCAAATCTTCCGGAAGGCCGAGCCCTCAGTGCACAGCCCTAACTCAGCCAGCTCAGGCCTCTCAGAACAGAGACTGGGTGAGCCAGGGGAGTCTGTCTCCTCCTACCAGCCCCCTCTCCACACACCAGCCCTGCTGGAAGTCTCTCTCTTCAGGGCTGCCTGGGGACAGGAAGCCACCAGAAAGAGTCTGTCAAAACGCAGTGCCGAGCTCCCGGGCTGTGCGCAGGGCTGCCAACCAGAAGCTCTACCTGCGGGCGGGGCCTGGGAATCTGTGCTCTAGTGGCCTCCCCACCCAGCTGCTAGTGATGCTACTGCACGGGGCAGGATGGGGCAGCAGACGGACTGCAGCGCCCTTGAGAACAAGACAGGGCCTGAAGCCCACCTGCGAGGGGCTCAGGACATATGTCCCCACCTGAACAGTGGGGGGAATGAGAGTCCCTCTGTCAGCGGACGGCTGTGAGGACGACAGGCCTGGCCCTCCTTCAGCACCTAATCCAGAATGCCTCCCGCACTATTCCCCTGAAGTACCCCGAGGGACTGGAACTGGGAGCCCTGGAGGTGGGTAGCCCCTACAAAGGCGCACCCTGTCTGCCCACTCTTGCTCTTCTATTGGGCAGGGAGCCAGCAGAAGGTGCTTCCCCAGCAGGCCCTAGCCCCAGGGACGGGTTCCCTCCAGCGGAAAGCGCACAGGCTTCAGGAGGACTCACAAGGCAGAGAATGGAGCTGCCAGCTGCTGCCAGCCCGGCTAGAGGACATGTGGCCCTTGCTTCTGCCCGTGTGAATGCCACATTCCTGGGCCACTGCCCTTCCAAACACCCACTGCCCAATCTCTTCTCCCAGGTCCCTCCAGCCTGGATCCCACCACTTGGGGTCCTGGACTGTCGCCCTCAAGCTGTTGGGTGAGTACAGGCTGCCCCATAATGCTCTCTGGTCCACCTGCCCTGTGAACACCTCCGCTTCTCCCCAGGGGGCTTCCCACACACACTGGGGAGGGCAGAGGAGCAGGGCCCCAGCCACCGCTGTGCAGACCGGACCCAGGGCCCAGCTGCCTCTGGCCCAGTTCCCTGCCAGCTGGGCCACCCAGCCCTGCTCGGTGGGCAGAGGCCTGGCACCCCCCACCCCATAATTGCAGCTTTCACACCACAGCAGGGGTGGGCTCTGGGCTAGCAGATGTGAGCCGCCACAGCAGGGGACGCCGGCGGCTCCCACTTCCTCCCCACCAGTGGGACACAGGAGGAGGTGGGGGTGCCGAGCCAGCACCAGCTCACCACACCGTGGGGAAAAGTCCAGAACCCAAATCCCAAACCATGTCCCCGGGCAGTTCACTGGGCAGTGCCCGGCCTCGCTGGGGCCCACAGGTCTCCGACACACAGGAACTGGAAACACTTGCGACGCTACATAAGGGTGTCATACCCTGTGGGTCACTGACATAGAGGCCCTTCCCCCTCGGGGGGCCAGGGCAGAAAACTCAAGAGAACTGGAGCCTCCAAATGAGACAGACCTGCCGCCTGCAGGTGTGCTCACCTGAAAGGGGATGGTGGGGTCAGTGAGTGACAAGCCCCCTGCAGGAGGCTGTTGTGAGGCTTACACAGCCGTATGGTGCAGAGCATTAAGCGCTCAGCCCGACAGCTTTCTGTCACTGATTCCTCTACTGCTGCCTGAATTATCTGAGCAAGCCCACTAAGGGCTCGGAGCCTCGGTTTCGTGGTCTGGGCAAAGGGACTAAGGGCACCCCTTTCTTTCCAAACCTAAAGAAGAGAAGGTATGTCCAGGCCTATCCTGACTGAGTGCATGCTCCCTCCTGGGGGCCTTCAGGAGATGGGGACCCAGAGAGGTGGCCTCAGGGTCAGGATGAACAGCAGCTGTCACCACAGGCTGACATGGGACTAAGAAGTGGGGTTCTCTGGTTCAATCACCAAGCCTGTGCGTCCTGTGCTGGGGGGGAAGAGAGAGGAAGGGGGGTGGGGGAGCAGCTGCTTTGTGAAGGAGGCAAGCTTTGCTGGAGGAGTCCGCGTCCATGCTCAGAAAACATCAGGGAGCCCTAGACATGTCCACACACCCCAAACCCAGAGGGAGCCTTAGCTGCCCCAGTTCCGTGCTCAGGCCAAGCAGCGTGTGGGGGCATGGAACCAGGGCCAGGGATTTCAACACCATGGCCCTGCCGGCCACAGGGGAAGGAACCCTTGCCAAAGCAGGGGTTACAACAGCACCCGCCCGCCTGCCCCCCCTCACCTGACTCTGGAGCTCGCTCTGCTGCTTGAGACGGAGGTTTTCCGGGGTGTCGGCCACCATGGTGAAGGACTGCTTTGGGTAGTGTCTGCGGGAGAGAAAAATGGGGGCGGGGGAGTTATGCTGGGGCAGCTGCAAGGACCACTGGCCTTCCTCACAGACCAGGGCTTGCCTCCACGGGCCCAAGCAGCAAGACCAAGATGCTCATGGTCCAGGACTGGATGAGGCAAGGGCTTCTCCAGCCAAGGGCAGGGAGGCCGTTGGGACGCTCTCTGAGGGTCCCCAACGCCCCTTGTTCTGGGATAAACCCTGACATGCCACTCCCCAAAACCAAGATCGCTGCCACCGAGTCGATTGCGACTCCTAGTGACCCAACAGGACAGACTCGTCATCTTTACAGGAGCGGACGGCCTCATCTCGGGCCGTGGAGCCGCTGGTTGGCTCGAACCGCTGATCTGGTCGTCAGCTGCTCAACGTGTACTCACTTCTTGCAGCCACCCTGGGTGGGGAGGACCGCCACGGCTCCCCTTTGACAGGCGGGAAAACTGAGGCTGTAAGAGGTTTAACAAAGTGGCCGGGACACACGGCCACGAAGTGGTATGATTCACATTTGCAGCCAGACTCTCTGGAGTCCAGTATTCTCCACGACTCAGGCCCAGGACAGACCTGGGTCCTGTCCCCCAAAAGGTTAGTGTGAGCTACGAGAAGCCGGGGTGGTGTACAGTGCAGTCTGCACAGGACGCTCTGGGGCCTTCCAGTTCCTCTTCTTCGGGTCACAGAGACGCGAAGCGCGTCCTAGCCCCAAGCCCTCCCCATCCACGAGCTTCCTGCATTGTCTCAGTTAGCACCCGGTCACTGACTTCTCTCTGCCGCTTCTCTGGGAGGGAGGGGAGCTGGGGCCTCCTGGGCTCACTGATTCAGCCTCAGACTAGTATCTGGCGCTCACGAAGAGCTGCGGAATCAATAAAGGGCCTATCCGCTGTTGACGCTGGGTCAGAAGTAGAACCCAGGTCCCCTCAGCAAACCAGCTACAGCAGAGGCAGCCCTGAGCTGCTGCCGTTCGTATATGAAACGGGTGGGGTTTCACATGAACCATGTGGGGTTGCTCTCCAAGCAGGAGCGCAAGTCTGGAATGACCACAGGCCACCACAGCTGGGACCACCTGGAGCGGCCTGCCCACCCCAGCCCCGACCCCCCAGCTGTCCCCAGTAAAGAGACAGTCAGCCTCCTTCAAGGCAGTCCCCAGCTACTAGCTGGATAGGCCTTACCCGCCTGCCTCGGCGCCAAACCTGGCACGTCTCCACACACCAGCATCACAGAGCTGAGCTCCCTGCGGACCACCACTCATTGAGGAACAAGGCTGGGGGTCTGGATCTGGAGAACTGAACCGAGGGGGGCTGGGCTGGCTAGCAGGTGGCTGACACTGACTAGTTAGGTGGCTTCTGCAAATCTACTTCCGCTCTGGGTTAGTCTCACCAACCTGGGCCTGGACGATTCTAGTTGGTTCCCTTCTCTGCCAGCCGCCACCACCTCACCAGGGTCCCTGCCCCCTGGGTTGCCCAGGATCGCAGCCCCAAGCAGATGGAGGAAGAAAAGGCGAAGGCTAGCACCTGCGGCTGGGTGGGTGGGAGTGGGGGAAGACTGCAGGGTGAGGCTATGAGCACTAGTAGTGGGTGATGTGTTCAGCTGCTAACAGCAAGGTCAGCAATTCAAAACCACCAGGCGCTCCGAGGGAGAAAGATGAGGCTTTCTACCACTGTCAGGGGTGCTAGTCTGGGAAACCCGCACGGGCAGGTCCACAGGGTCCTGCAGGGTCACTAGCAGTGAGCAACAAGGTTGTTGTACAGACTCTTTCTACAGGGAGCCACCTTATTGTAACTGCGCAGAAGCACACCCCACCCTTCTTTTCTTCTAATTAGAATTTCATTCTCAAAATTCTCGATACTAATACCACAAGATTGTAGCCAAAACGCAAGACAAGTTGAACAAATTATTGGCCATCAAAAGACCAGCCACACAGAAACCACATCAGCACAAGAAGACAAGTGGGGTGACTTGCGCGTCGACGTGACTGGGGAATCGTGAGGGGCTCTGAGCAGCGCGGCCGCAGGCTGGCCAAGCACAGGGGCACAGCACACTGCCTGGGAAGGTATAGTTGTGGTTTTGCTGATAGTTATCTATCTGTGTGTGTGTGTTTTCAAGTCAAATTTCTGCGGAAACAGTGAACAAAAAATTGATTGAGTCAGTTTGGCATCAGCCCCTCTGACAATGCCACCCGGTAAACTCTGCACCCCCCCCCCCACTTCCTCTCGGCATGCCTCTGCTCTGGGTGGGGAAGGCGGTGGGTGGGTGGCATTTGGTCCTCTCTTTGGAATCACCAGCGAAGAAACCCACCATCATCCCGGATCTTAGTGGGACTCTCGACTGAAGGGTAAGAACAAGCCTAGATGTCGGCTTAATCCAGGCATTTAACTAAATGGAAGAGGAGCTCCACCGGCCCTCCCCCCACCCCTAAAGCCCAACCCAAGGCAGTGGACGTGCCTGTGAGTGGGGCTACTCCTAGTGGGTCAGCCTGATCCCTTCCCCACAGCCCCCAGCCCTGGTGAGACAACCCAGCCTTCCCCTTCCCAGCCACCCTCTCCGGCTGCTCACTGCGCTTCAGGTTCCCATGGCAACCTCAGCCTGGGCTCCAGGAAGGAGGGCAGCCCAGAGCAGGCAGAGCGAGGTCTATGGCGGTGGGGGAGGGACAGCCGGGTGTGCTTCCTGAGGGGGTGCCATCAAGACAAGGCGGGGCGGGTGACAGCAGGATCCTTGTGGGCATCTTGGGGGAAGAGGCTGGGGGCTGCCCCAAGGGAGGGGAAGGCGGAACATGGTGTCGTTCCCCTCCCCCCACCGCCATGACGGGCTTCCAAGAGGGCTCAGAGCGATTTGACCTCTTTCCAGAAGCAACTGCTGCCAGTGCTACACCTTCTCCTTCCCTCTCTGTGCTCTGGCTAACCCAGCCCATCCCTCTGGGGTGTCACTGGGATGGAAGAGGGACCCTCCTGGAACCCCAGCCCCACCAACTGCCTAGGCATTTCAAGACCTGCCTGGTCCAGAGCCGGGCTGTGTTTCCTCCCCCATTCACCCCTGCCTGGGCAGCAGCCTGGGCCGCCCGCACTTAAAACACGCAAGGCGGCCTCGTGGTACATGGTGTCCCATGCACAGTGTGCCCTGCCACCTGCCACGAGGCTCTGAGCTAGAGAAGGCAAGCAGTATCTGAGTGGCGTTTTATAGATGAAGAAACGGGACTTCCGTCGGGAGCAGAGACTGCCCAGTGCTCCCTGCACCTGAGCTAAGAGCACAGGCGGACACCCTGGTCACCCCGCTCCCAGAGCTCTCAGGAAAGATGTGCTGGGGCAGGGTGGTTGGGGATCGAGCCCCCTCACCTTCAAAACCTGTTTGTTTCCACGTTTGGGCAGCATGAGAGACCCCAGGCAGGAGCCGCAGCTACTTAGTATAAGGTGACCAGACGTCCCGCTTTTGGCGGGACAGTCCCAATTTTTAACAAATTTTCCTGTGTCCTGCAGCGTTTTAAAAAGTCCCGATTTTTGGAAAGAATGCACAACAAGCTAGGGTAGACGGTTTTCTGCTGTCATGTGCTATTTCGCCAGGATATGAGTTTTATCAACGGTGTCCCACTTTACCAATGTTAAAATCTGGTCACCTTAACTTAGCACCTCTCCAAAGTAGGTGTTCTAAGCTGGTTTATCCCGAGGCCCTCTGAGTGGGACAGGGAGGATACTGAGAAGCTTCCAGGCACCAACCCCACTCCCCAGTCCTGTCCCAGTTACATTCCAAAGCCCCACCCCCTTCCTCCCAGCAGTCAGCCCTTCCAGCTGCCTGGGACCCCCAGGAGGAAAACCACAGCGTTTTGTTCAAGGAAGAACAAAAATACATCGATAAAAGCAACAAGGGCCTTTGGTTTAACCAAAATGGGGGTGGGGTGGGGGGACGCGGAGGAAAGAAAAGATAAAAATAAGTCCTGCACCCGTGCCCTGGAAGGCACGTAGATGGCCCCCTTCTAACCCAGATTCTCAGTCCCAGCCCCCACGCCTGAGGGGCTGAAGAGGCAGGGGCTGGGCACTGGAAGCAACAAGGAGCTATTGTTGGAATAGAGATAAGACTGAGCAGCCAGAAAGATCAAAGCTAGACTTTAGGAAGAACTTACCAGCCCGCAGAAGTTGAGGACAAAATGAGAAAGAAGCAAAAAGCCTGTCCCAGCTTCTTAAGGCGATACGTAAGGAGAAAGGACACGACCAAGTTGGATAAGGTGCTGGCCCTCCCTGCCTCAGTTTCCTTGTCTGTAAAATGGGGATGCTACGACCCCCGCCATCTTTGAGTGCGGGGCCTGGGGGAATGTGGAGGAATGGCTAAGGGCTGGCTGGAGGCTGCAAGGGGTCACCTGGCTGCCCCTTCGAGGTTGCCAGGACTCCTTGAGACTACAGACAGTTAGGAGGCTCTGCTGCCAAGTGAAAGGTTGGCGTCTGTCCTGAGTGCCTGGGAAGAAATGCCTGGCGATCAGCTGTCCAAGTATCAGCCACTGAAAGGCCCAAGGAGCACAGGGAGTGGAAACCGACATTACTACCACTGGGTACTGGTTGAGTTTGCTTCCACCACCCCCCACCCCAAACACACACCACACCCCTCTCCCAGCCCACTCCAGCTCTATAAGACAATTGATCTCATTTTCCCAGGTCAGATGCAGAGAATTCTAGGGAAGCAGGAAATCCCCAGACCACAGACTTGGATTAGGCCCCCACCCCAACCCCACTGACCCACCCCTGAAAAGAGGGGGATGAAACAGTTTCCTGGAACTGCCCAACACAGACCCCCACCCAGCCCCCAACTAAGGCCCAAAAGGAGGGGCAGGACCCCAGTCTTTGAAGCACAAACATCTCCACCCTCCTTAGCCCCTCACTTTGGAAGAAAAAAAAGAGAGGCTGGGGAAAGTGAACCCTGTACCCGGGAAATCTGCAGTCTGTGCCCCCAGGAAAGGGTGTAACAAGTCCCCAGCGCCCCACCCCCAACCCCAGCCAATTCCTTCATAACCCACGCCCACCCATTGACACCCCAAAGCTGGTTCCCAGGTAGGCAACTTCACTGCCTTCCCAGGAGTAGGCGGGTACCTTTCTGATCCTCCCCACTTAGTAGGTGCCCCCAACCATATACTGTCTGAGACCATCTGTGGAGACAAAGAAGCAGGTTTGTGGTGTGTGGACCATGTGCCCCACTTCCAGAGAATCCAGTTTACAAAACAAAAATTAAGCGCGGGCGTAAATATTTCTCTGATAAACAGAGGAGCCTCACCCCACCCATCTAGAAGCTTCCAGAAAGCATGTGGTGAACTGGTGGTTCTTCCACTGCTTCCACTGGAAAAGCCCACCACGCCCCACCTGGCCACAGCAAGGCCGGGGTGGCCAGGCTGGAGCGTGCGAACACACACAGCCGATGTCGGGCGTCCCCGGCTCCAGAGTGTGTGTCTGGGTGTGCAGTGCACGCACACAGGGGTGCCCACCGCCAGCCTGTGCCCTCTCCCCTGCCTCACCCCAAACCAATGTGGCACACAGAAGAGAAAGGAAAGAGCTAGTTGCTGCTTGCAGTCACTTTTCAGAACTGACATAGCAGCTGAGAAGCCACAGGAGAGAGAAATCCATCCTTCCCTCTCGCCTCTGTATACGCCCCCCCCAACTCACTCACTCACTCACTCACTGTGGGGAGGGGTCCCCGGTGGAGAGGAGCCCATGGTGCTGTGAACTGGATGTCAGGAGAGAAGGAATGAGTATAAACACCAGATTTAGTCCCTGGCACCTCCTACGGTACCCAACGAAGACCCCAGGTTCTGAGGCTCAGTGTGCCTGTGTAGAACTTTTATTTCCATCTCACGGATGGGGCCCCTAAAGCTCAGACAGGGCCTCGTTGGCATCTGGTGGATCCCAAGCTCCCTGCCTCCCCTCCCCCTTCGGTGCTGGCACAGTCCTGCTCAGCAGATGCTAGCTGAGAGAGTGTCAATGCCCTGAGCCAGGTGCTACTATTGCTGGTATGTACTGAAGCTGGATCCTTCCCAGATAACAGCGCTCTGGATCCCGGGCAGTGCGGTGTGGCAGGGAGGAGGGCTAAGGATAAGCCTGCTTCTGGGGCTGAAGGGCCTGAGAGCACCAGAGGACCTCTGTCTCAGCAGATTAGAAAGAGCAGCCAGGAAGGGGCACTTCGTGACCGCCAAGTCATGGTCTCTGTGTCACTTGGGGTCAACATAATCAACTTGGGGGCATCTCATACTGAGTCGTCCACTCCCTGCCTCCCCTGCAAGCAGAAGCAGGTAGAAAAAGTAGGCTTGGACTTTAGCACTTTGGCTCTAGGCGCACAAACAAGGACAAGCCTCTGATTTCTCTTTCTCCAACTCCCAGTGCTCACAGATTCTAGGCTACAGGCAAGTCTGCCGGCCTCCCAGCCAGACTTCTTCCACAGGGGGTGGAAGTTACCAGAATCCAGCCTGAAGTGATCCAGCACTCCAGGGGTTAAAGGCCCCAGCTTCTCGGAACCCCACCACACTCCCTAAAGGAAGGGAGGCTGCAGGCTCGAGTGATCCCTGAAGAATTTGAAGAATGTCCCATTTCCCTTGAGGGGTGGGGAAGGGGGAAGAACTGCAGAAGGGACAGCTGAAGGAGGGGCTGGGACAGAGCTGTGACCCTTTCTCCATCCAAGACAACCTTCTTTGGGGGGGTGGGGGGGTAGAGGCTTTCCAGAAGGAACAGCATTCATGTGGTTGCTTCTTGGGCTAGGGATTTTATCAGAAATCTGTTTTCCCCTGCACCTGGCACAGATAGGGTGTGCTGCAGGCTTGGGGGTGTAATCAGGCAATCCAAGGCTGACAAACACTCAAGCCCCCAGGGAGAAGGACGACGGGGCTGGGGAAGGGGTAGGGGGCCTTCCAGAGGACCTTGAATGCCCGGAGTCTCCGGAGAATGTTTGGAAAGTCAGAGGCTGGTTTCAGAGAGAGACCTTGCTATCTCCTGATAAGTGACTTGACCTTTGGAAGCCATGGTGGCAGAGCCCTCACCCAGCAGGGTGGCTCTCTGAGGCTGCAGGTGCCACCAGCTAGGCACTGAGTTGGCACTTGGCTAGGCATTAGGCCAACTTGAAGATGGAAGGTGTGGCACTCTGGAGCTGGGAGGAGGGACTCTGTGAGGGAGGGTGGGGGTGGCGGGGAGAGACACTGCTTCACCCCCAGGTAGCCCAGTGTGGTTAGGCTGCAGTGCCCAAGGGGCAGTCTATTCCAGCTCCATCAGATAGAAGAGGCAAGGGGAGGCCAATCTCCAGCCACGCTACACTCTTCACGACCCCCTCTTTTCTCAAGAAATAACACCAGGAGGGGCTGCTGAGAATCCAGGGTCCCAGAGAATCTGGGAAGGAGAAGAGGGAGCCTCAAAGTCAAGTGTCTAAGCGCTCTGTCAGGAAGAGGCGAAGCTAGGAGACCACCATTCGTATGTGTGAGGCAGCAGGAAGAGGAAGAATGAGCTTAAATGAGCTTTCCTTGGGGAAGTCCCTCCCTGTCTCCTAGCCTCAGCGTCCTCGTCTGTAAAACGGGGACAAGCACAGCCCTCCAGTCACCTAGCCCTTGGGAGGGAGGATGGGATCAACGCTGGTCAAGCACAGAATGAAAGCGGTCAGCCCCATCACCAGGGCCTATTAGAGGAGGAGCAGATGGAGAGGGGAGGGGCGCTCAGGAAGGGCCCCCCAGGACTCACGCATTGCAGTAGGGCTTCTTCTCGTAGCCTTTGTAGTTCTTCATGTTGAGCGTCATCTTGCAGGTCTCGCAGTGGAAGCATGCTTTATGCCAGAACTGGGGACAGAAGCAGAGGGAGAATGTCGTCAGCCAGGGAACTTTAGGGGAGGGGGGCCGCAGGCGCGAGGTCTGAGCCAGGGATGCTTAGGAAGGCTCCATTCTGGGGTCTGGCTCAGGCCCGCAGCTGTGGGGACAACATCCTATTGGGCAGGGTGGGCTAGGAGCATCTCAGGTCACAGTCAGGCAGCTGAGGACACTCCCCTCCCCTCTTTCACATCCCCCCATCAGCCATTTGAGCTGTCAGGAGAGGGAAAGGGGGCAGATGTGAAGGGTGAGTGGTGAAGAGACCAATTAGAGTGGTGGCAAGCAGCCCCCCAAAGGTTGGCTCCACCTCCCCCAGACCACTCTTCCTGCCTGCCAGGGCGCCCTAATTGCTTATGCAAAGCTGCCCTATGGTTGCTAAGAAGCAGCTGCTGAACACAAGGGACAGCAGCTCCTGGGCCACCAGGCAGGCTAGGAGAGGGGAGCTGCTGAGAGGAGCCCAGCCCCCACTCGCCCACGCCCCGCTGTCCAGACACTGCCAGCTCTCATCCAGGACCTCATACCACACCAGGGCTTAGTCACTCCTGGAGCGATCTTGTGAAAAGGTAGATTCTGATTCAGTACATCTAAGGTGGAGTGGAAACTTCTCAGCGAGGGGTCGGAACCACAGTGAACTGGCTCCAACAGCAACCTAGACACAAGCCCACAGGGCCCCCCCCCACACCCCCATCCAAGCTCTGACACCAACACCGATGCGCTTTCCACCCTTCCTTCATTCTTCTCCTACCCCTGTGGGGGCCACCAGGTGGGAGAACCCCTAACAGCCCAGCACCCTGGAAGGCATTAAGAGCTCTGCTTGGATTGCACCAGCAGAACTGGCTACAGAGAAAGCTCCACCCCAACCACCTATCTACTTGTGTAACCATGGACAGCGCCCCACACCTCAGGGCCCGGTTTGTTTCCATATCTGAAGAACTGTGTTGATCGGCTCACCGGAGGTTCAAACCCACCAGCTGCTTCGTGGGAATCAGATGAGGCTGTCTACTCCCATAAGATCTGCAGCCTCGGGAACCCTCGATGGGTCGCTGTGAGTCCTAAGCAAGTCGGCGGCAGTGGGTGAGGGAGCTATGCTTTTGGGGAGACCACTGTGAGGACGGAGTGGGAAATCGCCTGTCCCCTCTCAGGACACAAATGCTCAGTATTAGACACAGAGGGGCTGACGCTGACACAGG